GCTCAGCCTGGTCATCAACATGTGCAGGGGCAGGTGTAGACCTGGGTCATTGGAGTAAGGTGGAGACAGGTGGACAGGTTTTGTGCAGGGGAGGGGCAGTGACAGGTAGGTTTGCGGCCGTGAGAATAAGAGAGTTCCTCAGGGGGTGAGGGCCTGGAGGAGAAGCAAGAGAGGGGAGGCTGATGGTGGTTCCAACAGGATGTCTCCAATCTTCCACTGATCCTGACTGTGGTGTGGATGGGTTCGTGGAAAGAGGGCTCTGGGGCAGAACTCTTTGGAGACGTCATCATGTGTGACATGGAAGGGAGTGATGAATGGAGAGCTCTCCCATGCTCTGCCTTGTTTGACTGGAGGAGCCAGTGGGGCTATCCAGGATGGGTGACCCCAGAGAAGGATGGGGAACATGTTTATAAGACTGTTAACTGATTCACAGAGGGAATGACCACCTGGCTCTGGGCCTGGGTTTGTGGTTTGTTTCCCTCACACACTTCCTCTCTTTTGACTTCTCTCCAGCAAAAACCGAGTCATTCGTGCCTCCCCACTGCCTCTTGTCCTACAGACATTAGCTCTTCCGGATTCTATCTCCATGCTTTGTGCAAATCACTAGCTGGATGCAGGTAATGCTTGTTAATCCATCGTCAGTTGGTGAACATTTGATTGGCACCACCTTTTGTCTCTTGTGAGTCCTTCTATGAACATACTTGCATAGGTGTCTGCTCAATTACCTGGATGCAATTCTTTTTCTTCTCTGTTTTTCACTGTAGTAACAAGAGCGCTTAGCATGAGTCCTACCCTCTTTACAGATTTCTGTGTCAGGACCCTATTTTTGCTCTAGGCGTGGAGTTGTCTGGGGATCTCTAGAACTGTCTACCTTGCAGAACTACAACTTAGGCCCAGAAGTGGAATTTCTTGGTGACATGGTACTTCTGGGTTCAAGTTTTTAAGGATCTGCCATCTCTCAATTTCATGTAACTTGCACCCTACAAGGAATGCATTAGGTCTGTGTGCTCATGCCCCCTCCCATGATTGATAGTACACCTTAACTGTTTACATCTCACCTGGAGTCCTGGAACTTCAGTCTTGTGATTTCACTGAAACTGGGCCAAGAGAAATAGAAATAATCGTTCCACATAAAATGCAGGGAAACCTGCGTGCACTTTGGGGCTACCAGAGTGGCATTAATGCATCCTATGTTGACCTGTACTGTTTTGTGACATCAGTTCTGCACATTCCTCCCCATAAGCCACCTCACAGTGGTACCTTGAAGTTACCTGTGAAGGGAGAAGATACACCAGAGATACTGGCCAATGCCACGAACCAGCATTTTGCACGGTGGGTTTCTCGGAGGCGGCACAGACCAGGCCATCTGCTGGAAGTGAAAGGCTGGTGGATGCACAGAGGGTACTGGGGCATCTCATGGATATATCTCTTTCAGGCTGCATCTTTTTATGCCAATTTATGATTCATTAAAACAGCCTGCGTTATCTGAACTGAAGAGATGGAGACGCCTTCATGGACCTCAAGGTGTATGGTGATTAGAAGGGAGGAAAATGTATTACCTGAAATTGTACCAGAGCATGGCAGTGTATGGAGATGTGGACTGAAATCTGCCATGTGAGTATAAGCTGGTTTCACGAAATGGGGAAGATGGGAGCCAGTGAAGACAACTCAACAATGGTTCAGAAGGAGAGTCCACGGTTTAATGGCAAAAGAGTGCATACATTGTCCCCACACTGGAGCCATGACTCCTCCTCCTCCTCACAATGATCTGCAGACAGTTCACACAGCACATACCCCACATGCTCTTCCAGAACCTGCTGGGCACACAAGGTGTATTTCCCAGGCTCTGCTATTCTGATCATTGCATTGTTCTCTCTTGTATCTCTTGTGTTTACCTCCTGGCTGCATCTTGGGCTCTTCTCTCACTGTACCAAGCCTGAAAGAGGAGAATCCCGAGGACCACCAGGATCACGGCAGCCATGCCCATGCGGATGAGATTCTCCACTGTGTAAGCGTGGGTGTGGGAGGCTAGGAATTGAGGAGAGGTCACAGAGGTCAGGGCACACAAAAATCACCCGGGATCCTGGATGTCCACCCAGGGCACCCGCCTCCCCTTGACAGCACTTAACCCTCATGCCATCCCCATAAATGAGCCTTTCCCCTACTCTCCAGTGTTGGTGTCTGCCTTGTTTCGTGATGGGCTGATGGCATCAGCTGCTTCTGAGAACCATAAAAATGTGGGGGGAAATGAGGTGCTGTTGGGACTCAAACTTATCCCCTGGGCTGTGTGTTCTTGTACCTCCCCCATTTCTCATGATATACCTAACATAGAGTCCCTAATGAACACTTTCTCTGCTATAGAAGGATGCCCTTTGGCCTCATTGGATTCCTTCTGTCTCCCTGTGTTTTATGAATTAAGACTTCGTTTCTGAGTCCCATTGGAGCAGAGTCTTCCTGTGTCCCCTAGCTCAGAAATTTAGTGTGTAAAATCATCTCCCAATATAGAAATAATTGAGCTATTCAATTTCTGTGTTCATTCTGAGCATATAAGTTACCTCTCGTGGATAGGAGAACTGGCATTTTTCAACAATCAGGACCCAGTGTTCATGGATGAAGGGTTGGTCATAAATATATATATGAATATATTGAGAGAGAGTGAGAGAATTCAATGTGTACCATATAGGTGTTAGTTATTTGAACTATCCTAGGTAGGATATCACCATCACCATCACTATCATCATCATCCTCCTCACCACCACCATCATCATCACCATCACCACCACCATCACCACCATCACCACCATCATCGCCACCATCATCACCACCATCACCACCACCATCATCGCCACCATCATCATCATCACGACCATCATCACCATCATCATCACCACCATCATCATCATCACCACCACCATCGTCACCATCACCATCATCACCACCATCACCATCATCACCACCATCATCGTCACCACCATCACCATCATCACCACCATCATCATCACCACCATCACCATCATCATCACCACCATCATCATCACCATCATCACCACCACCATCATCACCACCATCATCACCATCGCCATCACCACCATCATCATCATCACCACCATCACCATCATCACCACCACCACCATCATCATCACCACCATCACCATCACCATCACCACCATCACCATCACCATCATCATCACCATCACCACCATCATCACCACCATCACCAGCACCATCACCATCACCACCATCATCATCACCACCATCATCATCACCATCACCATCATCATCATCATCACTGTCTGCCTCCTTCTCATCTCTTTCTCTATCTCTCTCTGTCAGTCACAAAGAACTCTGAAAACTGCCGAAAGATTTCAAGGAAGAACACCAGTCGTTTGATTTTTATCTTCAAAGACAGCCCCTCTCACCTCAAACCCTCAAGGAACAGAGAAAATAAATGTTGTTATAAAACTGGTGAACACAAAATTAGGTAATCCTGCAAATCTAATTTAATCCATTCACATAAAAAACAAAAAGATAAAGAAGTACAGATGAATTCTAATTATAAATCTCCATGTGGAAATTTTAAATAAGCTTAAACAATTCAGAAAGTATGAATGAAGAATAGACATCATTCAGTGGGTTAATATCCAAATGTTTGATACCAAGAAGTCTTTTAAATGTGTCTCACTAGGGCTATGAAATTCAAAGAATAAGTCAGGAAATGTACAAGCCCAGAAAAAATTCCATTCCTAATTTGTATTAAGAAAATATTTTTTTCCTAATAAGACCTGAATGTAACAGAGAAACGGACTGAAGCAGACAGTTTAGTATTGTTATATACATAAAAATACAGATTTTTAAAATGTGTTTGACTTAAAATAATTAAATAATTTGGGCTATCAACTAAGATGTTTTCTTAAAGCAACACTTAGATTCGTGTTAACATCTTACTTTGTCATCATTATCATGAGATATTTGCTACAAACAACACTGGTGCACAGTCTGGAAATAAAGAGATAAGTTTCAATTTTTTTGAGGTTGATATAATGATTATCAGTTAATCGATGGAGATCAATTGTGAAGCACCTGAAAGGTGGAGTTTCTGTACTAAGTTAATAGAATATAAAATTAATATAACCAAACCAGTATCGTTGTTATATATACTTAACTATTACTTAGAAAGTATTACGAAATAAAAAATCATACTTATAAATGAATAAAAATTGAACACTTTTTAAGATTCAAGTGTAGACAATTTGATGGAAAAAAAAAACTTCAGAATGCACCTGCATCATTTATAAAGCTTGTTTCTAAGCATGTTTTATAAAAAAAGAACTTTATAATCATAAATTACTCTCTATGATGAATATATACATTTCATCCAATCCCAATGAAATTGGATAATTTTTTAAATCATAAATCCTCATAATGTAAATTTGTAATTTATATCTGCAAGAATCGCTTTTTTTAAAGATTTTGTTTACATTTGACAGAGAGAGACACAGCGAGAGAGGAAACACAAGCAGGGGGAGGAGCAGGCTTCCCGCAGAGCAGGGAGCCCGATGCGGGGTTCGATCCCAGGACCCTGGGATCATGACCTGAGCCGAAGGCAGACGCTTAACCGACTGAGCCACCCAGGCGTCCCTCTGCAAGGACAGCTTTAAAAGTTCTGAGAAGCAGGCACAGGGACACTGGACAAGCGTCCACACACAGTGCACAGTGGACACCAGCTGCACACGGACACGTGGTGCAGCACCCTGGGGACTCCCGTGAGCCGGGCACGGCCCCTCCTCTGTCTCAGGTGCGCACCGAGGGGCAGGGAGGCCCCCAGGTGAGCACAGGGGGCGGTAGAGAGGTGCCCACAGGCAGGGAGCCTTCTCTTTAGGACAGTGTCTGGTGAGCTCCACCTGCGCCCTCAGAAAATCCCACCTTAGTCTGAGTAGCTCCAGGCCTGGTGTGAGAGGGCTCCACGCCTCCTCAGGGGTGGGT